TAATTTATTCAAATATAGGCATGGGACGTCAACATTGTGACATAAAACAAAAAGACAACGCCATCGCCATATACTTCCTAAATAATACTGTTTACAATTTTTTTAGGGTAAGTTTATTCAGAAATCTGCTATAATTTTCGATAATAACCCTTTCATAAATGAGTTGACTAAGAAGGAATAAATGTGTAATCGCTCTTAATAAACTCAATTGAAAATATTGGAATGAAACGAAATATTAATTAAAGAATATTTTATTTTGAGATTTTTCATATAATAGTGTTATACTAAACCCTTTGATGCTTAATAATAATACTTACTTAACAATATAAGCGAGGCACATCAACGCGGAAAATAAAAGAACTGTTCACATCAAGAGTAAGTTTTTCGTTGCAGTGGAATAAACAAAACATAAATTATTGCCAGTACGATGTCAAAATCACACACATGGTCTAGCACGGTGGTTTCTAGAGATAGTAGTAGCACCAGTGGGGGTATATCAGCATGTTAGGTTCTGGAAATACGCGATGTAAAGCGAAACGACGTAACTCAAAACATATTTCTTCATATGTTTACATGTAAGACTCAAGGGTTAGGTTCCACACGGACTCAAAATTAACAAAAAACTACATTTATAACAAATGATATAGATGCTTTATTATCAAAAGTAAGTAATTCAACTTAAAATAATTATAAATGTACTTATGAAATTGCTAGTATTTTTGGTATTTTGAGAAATAATAAATTAAACTTTTGGCTTAAAGAAAGTATCAATTCTCGATTGCTTAGCTTCTTTCTTCTTGCTATCACACAGGTCTTGGTAACACTGATAGGCTGCACAAATTTTGTTATTAACATTAAAACCCCACGGACATTAACCGCGCGACAAGTGAATTCTCCTATGCCGAAAATCGAAAAAATTGACGTATGCTTGAGGAACAGTTTGACGTAACTTGAAACGACATAAGATGAGGACTGCCTTTAATCGAAGATGGCGTTGCCATAATTTCTGCCCTCGTATATCCCAGCATAATGAGCACAAAAAAAAGAAACGGCTAATCGATTATATATAACATATAATAATAGAGCCATAGGCGTTTAAGCAAAGCACACCCTTAAGCCTTACTAGGTACTCTATCTAATACTTTCTAAAACCGTTTAACCGACTAGTCAAGATTGTTATTTTCTTGTTTTCGTATTTTTTGGGAAGAAGATACAGCAGCATTTTAACTGTTGCCTTCCCCATTCAGACCAAATTTTATTAAAGAATAATAAGATCTTAGGCTGGATTGCACCATAATAGCAGTTAGGTATATCTAGAGATAGACCTGACCACATGTGGGGTATCAATCATAAACAGCTTTAGAAACCACTGGTCTAGCATATGGGTGATGCAACGATTTAACCACGAACACACAAGATAAATTGGCTAGCTATATATATGTACTAATAACTTAGACCGTATTAAGTTGTTTGCACACTAAATCGTATAATCATACCAAGACCGTAATAGAATTGTTAGACACATAAACTGGATCCGTTCTCTTTGCATGTTTTTAATCCTAATATAATTTGACACTTAGCTTTTAATGTTTTTGGCGTACAGTTTATGTCTGCATTATTGTTGCCAGATGTCCCGTATTTCAAACGACGTCCAGTATTTCAGGCATAAATTAAAATGTCCCGCCGGGACCGTCTCTGTTCCGTGTATCAATTACCCATTTCACAAATGGTGTTAAAGTGGACCCCTATCTTGCAAAAAACCGAATTAATGGCTTTATGTAACTTAGCTATTTTTTTAATATATAAAATCTAACAAAAATATAGCAATACATGCACGTTCCTCTGAAAATAAATAAAATATTGAAATCCCATATTCTTTAGACTATTTAACCATTTATCCCTTAGAGGCTGAAAAAAATCTGGCAGCCTTAGTTGACATGATCATTGAACTAACTATATGTATATGTATAAAAAACATACAAAATTTTAATACATACAATCGCTGACAGTAAGAAACAGGTGAATATTTGTACGTAAATTCAGTGTTCCGTCCCATAGTAAAAGTTGTACAGTATACTGAACACATCTACCGGACGCAGTCCTGGCGTATAACATTATTACACCTTATACCTTATATATTACGTCCTCTTAATATCAGTTCCTATTTGATGGACTTCTTATATAAAATACATCAAACGTTTGATATACGCGTAGAAACTGACTCCTTGTAATTGAAGTTGGTTAAAAACAAAGATCTAATATTTTACGGTCGCTATTTGCGATATCTAAACACCGTCTACATAAAATTCCAGTTTCCTTTAAAGAATGATAATAAAATGTAGGTGCAGTACAGACTAACTTTCATAAAGTTTACGTCCGATTGTTTACTGAATTGCATATTATTTTTGTTTAAATGTATCCTCATGAAAAACCCACATAATGGACATTACATCGATAAATAATGAGTAATCTCATAACAAATATAACAATTGCTGGATGACCTCACTCGCATATATGTACATATTTCTATTCTTTAAGAGGGAACTTTCATTGTAGATACGCGTAACACATGATCAGATTACTACAAAATACTAGTTTTGCAATCAATTTGAATTTTATTATTAACATGCCAAAGCATAAAATCCTGACGACCTGTCGTGCTCTGATCTGCATATTTTTTATATTATAATAAGCAATAGGGATTTGTTTTTAAAACACCATATCACAAAAACAACGAATATGTCGTTGTAAATCTGATCTGTAAATAATTTAATTTCATATTTCAACTTAAAACGGTCCATCACAAACGATCTGAGATAAAAAGAGTGCAAGAACCACTTCCACATACACTATTTGAAATAGATTTTTTTAAATTACATTTAAACTATATATTAAAAACTTATCAAATAACTTCTGCATGACACACCAAGCAAAGGACTCCGATCGTAAATCTAATACATATCGCTTCTGAGGAGACCAAAGTGCGCGGATACTTTCCTTGTAAACCGAACTATCGCATGAGTCAGCATGCGAGACGACGTATATATATGTGAGTGTGTGTGCAGCTACACATATTATTATACAATTTGCGTATTGATCTCCATTGAAAACATATTCGGACTACTTTGGCTGTATCGGATATGTGTCCAGTATAATCGAAATCTTAAATCTGGCTTTAAATCACATGAAATTGTAAATAATAGTTAGTATTAAAAGTCTGTGTAGTTTTACATGCACATTTAAGAACCGGTCCATGAGCACAAGTAACGAGTGCAGACGGGTCCGATTTCAACATAATGAACAACCGATGGTCAACCAAAAAAAACATAAGCAACTACTATGGAATGCTTGCGAACAAAGACATTTTTAGAATCAACCCTCTGGTGAAAATGCGTTGTTTCAGTTATTTATAGATGTGTATGACTTACTCGTTGCATCTATGCTTAAATGAGAGAATGAGGTAAGGTTAGAGTTATGTGTGAAACGAAAAGGAAGGATAAAATTCACAATAATGTTATTTGGAGTAATTACAGTACTGAATGGATATGCATATAGAGGAAAATGAAATATATTAATGAAATTATGATAAGATTAACGATAACCTTGTCATATAATAATTAAATTTGAGAACTTATTGTGCCCGAAATTCAACTGAAAAATAATTTCAAATTACTACTTTTAACATTAACTTAGCCTGCGTTTAAGATTTTTATTTAAATAGGATTTAATTTAAAATTGTCATTATTAAAACGACTTTCATTAAATTTTATGGTAGTGCCGGGATCTTTGACCAAGGGTAGTTTAGTCAGAGATAAAGAAACAAACAATAAATAATTCAAAAAAATGTAATAATAATTGAATTAATATAAATGTTTCCATTTAATAAACAAATTTTAGTATTATGAATAAGTCCAAGTAGTATTTTTGAAGGCAGTTATGTTTTTAATTATTAAAAAATTATCAACGTCTGTCTAGTTAACACCAAACCTGTAAAAGAAACGAAAATCCGAAAAACATAACCGTTTTTCAAAAAAACACATGAAAATACCGTCGTGTGCGTGAAAATAGATGAAACAAGTATTATTAATAGCTAATTGATCCTTTAATAAATAACAATATAAAATAATAAGCCAATACCAATCTAATTTCTGGCTCAATTTACATTGGTCGATAAACCAATGACGCATGCGGCTCCCATCGATAAATGTAAAGAAGCCAAAGGGGAACCTCTAATTTATTAGATTAGACTGTCAATAGCCCTAGTATTCTAATTTAACGTTTTGATTCTTTTTATGAATTATAATTACCATATACATATTCATATGAAAAACGATGGGTTTCTTTTTATTTATTTTTAGTTGGTTACCCAAACCTATTTTTAATATCTGTAATTCAATTGAATTAGTAAACTAAAATAAGCCCAATTTAAAAATTAATACAATATCAATATTATATATATATAAACATACTATAATAAATATAAATATTTCCTTTAATAAATAAATCATAAGATATATCGCCTTAATAACAATATCGCCACTCTTCATTACAAAATCTACAATTATTATTCATTACGATCACAATATGTCGAATCCCTTACGCTAAAACAATCATTTTCGCTTCCCATACATGGTAGATAATACAATCGCTCATTTAATCTTAAGTACAGAGTTGATAATACTCTAAATATTTGTAAGTAACTCAAAAGTATTCACATTCTCAGAAAACTAAGTACCCAGCTATTATAATAATTATAAAATTACTCACTACTAATGCGAATTAACATGACGCCTGAAAATCTATTTTTATTCCTCCGAAATCATTTATTTCCGAAATTGTGATACGACTCTAAAACTGCATTTTTCGATAATTTATGTTGCACGGAGGTAGGCTAACACTGCCTCGCCAGAATCGATGATGCACAGATATTTTTTTAAATCAAACAAAACTATAAGAACTATTCGAAATTACCCAAATTAGGACATATTGAATAGACCCTCAGGTATCATGTTAGTTCGTATGAGTTATACACGCTACATTATTATAACAGGTTTATAAAAAAAGGACAATCAAACAGTCTCATAAATACTTTCTCTCTATAGTTACAATCAATTTATATCTAAAGAGGTTTGAAAGTAAGCCATATTCCTCCTTTATTCTTCAACATTACACTCCGTGGGTCATATTGAATGTTAGATGTGGTGCGGGAACACGGCTCTACAGTAAAGGTGCTCAACATTGTCGCTAAGCCAGCCACCACCATCAGCTGAGCGAAACGACCTCCTGTATAGAAAAGCAATCCAATATATGTTTCAACACTTATGTCATCACTGCTGAGGCTTTTTTTAGAAATTACATGGGAATAATAAACCCTAACCTACTAAAACAGGCTGGAAATTGTTATCGAACTCGGTGTTGTCACGTCATTATGAATATAATATTAATACTACATATTTTGTGTAATTTTACCCGCCCATTAAGATCTCGCTGTCATCGCTGATGATGTTATCGCATATACGCTCCTCTCAAAAATAATTCATTACGTTAAAATCCAACTCAAAATAAAAGAAATAAAGGTGTTCTAAAATATATTAAAAGTTTTAATGTGTGATTGATTATGCAAATAAAAACAACATAACAAAGGAATTACACCAAATTATTAACGCGGTAGTTTTGGATTACTCCACAGTTTGAAACAAAACCTTTATTATATTTTGAAGTAGATTCTATTTAATTGAACCTCTATGACGACCTCTTTTATTATGGAATTAGCACTACAGTGTATATTAATGCGTATTATAGCACTAAAGCGTTAACCACTGCACTATGGAGTTCCCTATATTTTTAAATAGTTTTCAGTATTACAATACTATTTTCATTATTTATTCGAACACACTCTTGTGTGATATGAATAATGTTTATATAACACCGCATAATGTTTTGTATTTAGATCACTTTATAAATCTACATGATGATGACAATGGCATCGTCGAAAAAACAATGCGCTGTTTTGTAACACTACTTACACAATTGTACAAAATGACAAGTTTTTTGTCTGTCCCAAGTACTGATACACTAGCTGACATAATACATAAACTGATACTCACCGGGACAACTCCTGGGCCCGTCACCGAACGCAAGAAATGTCGGTGGATTCAAGTCATTTTCGAATCGATCCGGATCGAATTTATTTGGATTGGGAAAATATTGTGGATCTCTCTGTATACAACATATAGGTATTAGGAGTGGATCCTTTAATTTGATTTTTAAATCAGAATCTCCTAGTGTACATGGAGCTGTACAAAGCCTCGTGGTCATCGGCGTGGGCGGGTGCAGACGTAACGTTTCAATTACAGCTTGTGTGGTCAAACGCATGGCACAAACGGAATCGTAATTAAATGTGCCGTAGTTTGCCAAACATTCCATTATCTCTTTCCTTATACGATCCTGTAAATCTTCATCTTTAGCCAATTCATATAAGCAGAATGACAAAGTAGTCGCAGATGTCTCTAGGCCAGCGAGCATAAATATAAATGAATTGGACGTTATTAGTTCATCCGTCATAACAAACGTAGAGTCGTCTTTTTGTACATTTAACATCAACTGCAGGAAATCGTGTCTCACTATTCCAGTTTTCCTCCTTTCTGACAGCACTTGCTTTATTATTAACGTAAAAAAAGCCTCCACATCTGACGAGTAACTTCTGAGATTCAAAACTTTAAATAGCCTAGGAAAAAACACTCTACAGTAACGTTTCAAAATAGTTGAACGATCCGCTCTAAACATTTTGGAGGACATTTTTAAGAACGGTGAATCGGGATTCTTTAGGGAACCAGGATCTACACCAAATGCACAGCTGCCGATGACGTCAGTCGTGTATCTACACATGAGTTTCGGAATATCAATTTCTTCTGAACACTCGTCTAAGAGAACATTCTTTAAAGTGTTAGCACATTCTGCTATAAGTGGAAACATAGCCTTCATTTTAGCAGATGAAAAAGTAGGAGAAACTATATGTCGCATCGCTTTCCACTCTGCTCCACTCATATTAGCCAAATTTCTGAGCAACGGTTCACGTTGTGTATCTGTAACCGCAGATACCCGATCGCTGAAATTGGAAAAATCTCTCGAGAATACATTCTTTACTATATCCAAATCTAACACCATCAGCGTCGGTCTGCGCGCTTGGAAAATTCCTACATACTTCTCATTCCGATATTTATCATAAAAATAGTGTAACATACTAGCGTAACTTTTGCGCATCGTAAAAATTGGTCCGAAATTTCCAAATATCGGACACGGCTCTCTGTACGCAACATTCTTTTGTTGCCAATATTTCCTGCCTTTCGTGGAAAAGTGGAAAACGGTCAATAAAAATATTAAAAAGGTTATAATAGCTAAAAGGAGTAACGTTACACTGAACAACATTTTGCTGAGTTCACTGATAATTGTTGGGTCACAATTCTTGTTTATCGATATACCGAAGAATGTGCGTTCATGCCGGTTTTTTTTTTGTGAGTAAACAAACGATAGACACGCGCTCGCTGCGCAGCGGGCGGTGTACTGGCGCGATAACAGCGCCTGCAAACACGACGACGTTCACTCACCAATTGATGTGTATCGTGTCGGTGAGCGCCGAGATAAACCAAGCCCACTACACGCAGTCAAGGCCGCGCTAGTTGACGTACTACCCATGCCGCCCGTGACTAGAATATACTCACATTCGAGTGTTTTATGGCATCCATTGTATTCAGAATAGGAACACATTCTGTATTCGATTTACTACGGCACTTGACGTGATGAGATTGCTTTTACATAAAAATGTAGAATTATAATTGTATTCTGAAGCTTTCAATCCGATATTCATATTGTTAATTTTAAATTGTAAAAATAATCCGAGTTCAGCTGTTTTAAGAAGATACAGTTGATTAAATTCAGGAAAACCTGTAATTAGCTTTACTCTTTGTTAGTATTAATTCTTAACAATTCTAATTTTGTAAAAGCCGTTGGTTTGCCTAAAAAAAGTAGTCCATTGAGTAGCTAAAAATGGTAATAAAGTGGTGAAATGATAAAAAAACAACTTGAATTATTTTAAGTTCGTTACTCAATTTTTCCACACGCGTGAAGTTTCATGTGTATAAATTATCTGCCCTTAAAGATTCTGACTTTTAATTAAAAAAAATTAAAACTAGCGCATAGCGAGTTAGTGACAAAAATCTGAGTGCGGTCTCTGTAGTATAAATTATTTTAAAGTATAATCGGATATAACCCATAAAGATAATTGTCTTAATCGCAGAAATGGTAGTTGATGGGGGGTAACGTCCGACGAGTACAGTGGATGACACATGGTTTCTTCAGATATTGATGAAACATTTTTTATGTGGTACAAAGTATTGCGTTATCGTGGGATAATAATAATGACTCAATCGTCATCCGACCCACCGTTCAAAGTTCCGTAAATACAATGCTCGAACGAAGATCAACTGCCTTATGAATTAATTATTGTCTATGTATTTAAAACCAAAAAAAAAAGCTAAGAGGTTATTTATTTTCTTTCATTGTCCTCATTACTGGTAAGCCTTCCCTATGGATTGAACCATATACTATAAGCAACCTTGCGAGCTTAGTGCGTCATAGTGGATGTAAACAACAGCAGATGTAGATGACCGAAAATTTCTGATCGCCCATTTAGTAACGAGTCACCGTGAAATTTACTTATCAATATTGCTAATTCCAAAAAAACTTTATATCGTATTGTTCTGCCACTGATTCCTAACCCTTCCATGATGGTTACTCCCAGCACGGTGTCTAACTAGAGACCACGTCTGTCCTGAATGATATTTCTAGATCCACACAACATTATCATTTAATTTTCGCTTAAAGCACGTTTTAAACATGTTTTATTATTCTTTTATTAAATTGGTTCTCAATTATTAGGTTGTTTGTTCATCATCATCAACCCTCTACGCTGGCCCAATGCGGATTGAAAGGTATTAAAAGCTGCAATTCCAGCCGGGACCAACGGTTGAACGTGTCTTCCGAAGCATGAAGTAGCTTGAGAAAATATTTTTTAGATCACCCATGCCGTGACGTACCCTTGCGAAATTTGATTTACGACAACGATTCTTTACGCCCATAGAAAAGATGGTTTAATTCCCGGAGTAATTACTCTTAGGTAAGAAACTACTTTTCTATTCCCTCTTAGATTTTTATTTTGGTTTGTCAAAAATAATTACTATATAATAAAAATATGATTGTTATTTTCGATTAATAATCAACGCCGTTGGTGGTCGGTCGTAAACGTTAACAATTATAATGCATTATTACAGCAGCAACTCATGGTTGGTAGTTATACAAGCGATAAACTATCAATATAATGGGCATCAATAAATCTCAATATTCACAAGTGGTTTAAGATAAGCTCTGACCAAGTTAATGTGTACCTAACTCGGGATGTTCAATAACCCTCTTATATTTAAGTAATATTGTTAGTTCATTAGTTCATGGATATCGTTCTTCACTAGAAGTTATCAATTTTATTATGAATTGTAATTTCGTAGATACATTGTGATTGGATGAAAGTAAATATGTATATGGTACATCATATCGACGCTGGAAAGCAAACACGTAGTAACCTGCAAAACCAAAATGGATATTTAGAGTGGAAAATGTTTAAAATTTTCCAAAAAAAATATCTTATTTCTGTATAAATTGACTAAGGAACACCTTATTTGTTACCATGGACATTTACAGGAATTATTTATCGAAAAAAATAAAAGTTTTTCTGCTCTGAAGAACAATTTTGGTTTTGCGGGTTACTACGTGTTTGCTTTCCAGCGTCGATATTATAAAGTATTTTAAAATGCAATACTTAGCAACAAATCTTATACATAAAAATTCTCGTGTCACAGTTTTAGTTACCATATTCCTCCGAATCGGCTTAACCAATTTTGATGAATTTTTATACAACTAGTACGCTAGTGTAATATATAAATGGAATACAGCTGTTACATCAATTTGCTTCTTTGAAAAATGAAATATTTGCACGCATACCTCCAATAGTTACCGCATGATGACTATTATGTTAAAAAAAAATAAGATGTTAATCTTAGCGGTGGGGTGGTAATAAGTGGTGGGCGAAGTAACTGCGGCTACGCCATTGGCTAGTAGAAGGACACGCACGGTTAACCCAATAACAACTTAATTATATAAAAAAAAAATCTTCTCGTCAAAGCATATATTCACATGTCGAACACTTGGTCGTAACTCAGGATTCGAATACGTGAATTACTACTTTTGTTAAAGCTATCTATGCAGAATCATAAATGCTTGGCTACAGCTTGCTGTCTTTCATGAGGCATATATTGAAGGTTATCTGTGATAACCTTAACCACAGATAGTAGAGTTCAATTTTCAAAACAGCTAAGTAGAATTCAATTTTCAAAACTGGAACTTTATTTATATTATAGTATCTCCGACGTAGTTTGGGTTGTACATTAATATGCTTGTATTAGTCAGTTTTTATAGATTTATATTATTTAATCAATCAAGATATATATGTTTAATGTGTGTTATTAAGACTATGCAAAGTACTCACATCACAGTGAGGTGACGCACGCGCAGTAACTACAGTTAGCAGGTCCGCTGCAGCCGCGCGAACCACATTCGCTTCATGGATTTCCGCGAAGATTTGCGACCCGTATTGCACCAGTGATGATTCTTCGGTAGCTATATCAAAATACTATTTGAATGCATATTTGAAACGCATTCGCCACATTTTGTACCTAACTTCGTCTCATTTGAAGTTCTATCTACTCGATACCAATGTCAAAAACACAAAAGGATAAAATAGAATTTGTGAGCGTAAAATACACACAAAAATTGCGCGAAAAGGTTAGTGCTTTGTGGAACTGATAAATAATAAAAATTTGCCAGTGGGCCGACTACATTTTTGTAATATACAGAAAACCAATGTATTAAAAAAAAGTTCATATTATAAAATAAATCTTTCTATAGCAAATGCATGCTATGAAAATTGTTACATACGAAATACCTCCACTGTGCTGTTCATTTTATCAGGTATAATTTAAGATAATATTATTACCTTCTATACATCTTTAAGTCTCAAATAGTGACCGCAATGATGTCGTGTTAGTATTCAATTTATTTAAAGAATTCCCTTGTGTTAAAGTGTTGAGAAACTCTCACTCACCTTGAAGCAATTGTGGTAATAGTTGCGGGTAGTGAGCGAGAGCTGCAATAGTTCGCAATGCTGCTGCACGCAGAGTAGCACACGATCCCTTACTACCAGCCATCAACGCTGACACAACGTCGCCGTGCCATAACTCCGACCATCTCTGTCGTAAATAATCCATGTTAAAATACATTATACACAAAATAGAAACGCCAACGCATTTTCTAGGAGACATTGTGTCGAAAGCTACACCAGGCAAGAAACGAAGGAGCAGTACCCATAAAAGGAGCCAGTACCCGTTAAGTTTTTAAAGGCTGGAGGATCTCAGTGAGGAATGGACGGATTCCCTGTTAAAGGAACAGGAAAATGACAACGATTTACAGCCATTCGTCGAGTGGCAAATGAAGGTGGCTGCAATAAGATCATTCTAAGAGTTATTGGACACATGAAATAGCCTGGGTATGCAAGACGGAATACTGTGCTGTAAATAGTAAAGTACCCGGGGAAATAATTATCAAGATACCAGATGTGTACCGATAATTAAATACTAATAGGCTAAAAATAATTAGTACCCTAGCCTTTGTTTCATGGGATAACCTACCAAACAATGATAAGTAATACTACTGGGCAGTATTGTAGACAATTTTTTACTCTAAATTGAGAATTGTAATGAACACTTCTTCATTTAAGATGATGAATATAATTTTTGTAGGGGCGCATTGCTTCACTGCCGAATGACATTAAGGATGTGAACACGCTCAATATTTTTGAGTAAAGGTTATAAAGTCATATTTTATCCAGACAAACAAATTCGCTTCCATATATCCGAACGCTGAGATCTTTAAACCTACACAACGGATTTTATCATCGATATAAAGAGTGTTTAAAGAGGAATGTTTATATGTATAATACAGTCCGAAAGCTAGTATAATAATAATTAACAATATTATATTTTCGTAATGATACTCAGTAATCCAAACTGTGATTCTCAAGTTTATCAAGTACTTATTAAATTTATTATTTGATATATCACCTGCACCGGTATTCTTTCCTCGTGAACTTGCCGCAGTAAGGCCAACAAAGACAAGATAGAATCAAGCCTACAAGCTTGTCCTTTACGCCCCCCTCCTGAAGCGCAACCGCTAAGAGTATTGGTCACTATACGCATTGTCTGAACAAGTGTGTCTTCCGAAAGTTTACAGTAACGAGAATGTACGATGTATCTGATGCAATGGACCAACTCGTTGAGGTAACCTGTACAAATATTTTAAAAACATACTTTAATTATATCTTACAACATCCATTAAGGTTTAATGACGTCTTTAAACTCTAACGAATGTCGAATTTGTATGGGTAATGTCACTTTAAACTAATGAAAATTTTAATTTTAATCGGTTGTGCAACTAGCTGATATTTGCACAAACGTCAATTAGGATTAAATGGCTACTTTAATCTCTAATAGATGTTCTAAATTTGTATCGTTAATGTAAGCAACTGACCAGATATATTACTCTAACAACTTCTATTCTTACCGAACGATATATTTTCCTTGTTTATTCACTATTTATGATAGTGAGTCAAGGGACTATAACAGGGATGACGACTGTATTCAAATAAAAATAGAATTTTAATGTAATGTGACAGTCTCCATAATATATGTTCACTCTAGTTACCTTTTTTTTAATTAACAACTTATCAGTTAAAGTGACATCGCAATAATAGAGCGAAATTTAGGAAAACCAAACAATTTAATAATAATCGCTCGGGAAACGAATCATTTCATATACTGTCCAGGCTTTACTCTAAATGAATAGTACCTTTATTACAACATCCTAATATAATTAATGTGATGAAATATTCTGTCCCCAATAAGGATAAATTAAAAAAAAAATACAACAATCCTCTATCTTATCATTTTTATTTAAATTACTTATTGAAGCTTTATCATGTTACTGTACGAGTTCATATTATCGTAGTTATTTCAAATACGATTTTCATAAGAGGTTTAATATTAATTTGCACGCTCTGATTAAAACAAAATAGTTTACAAATTAGCTCTTTAAATTAAAGTGGTTTATCTGCATTTAAAATATTGCGACACTGATTGAAATAGAAGTATGTATGTATATTCAAATACAAAAATCAATTACTATTCCAAATTAATATGAAAAAAATCTATATTGGTTAATGTAAAACCATCGAAAACGAAGAAAACTTGTATTTAGCTCTTCCACATAAAAACTAGCGCTAAAGTAGACAAATAAAGTTGATTCCATTATTAAAGCAATTTCGGTAATTAAAAATGAGTCACGAAACTCAAAGAAAACTAAAATTTACATTAAAATAAACTTATATCTTCTGATGATCATTAAAATTAAAAATAAGGTTTTTTTTAATTTTAATGATCACGATCGAATCACGATCCGCCAGTGTGACATCGTATCGGTAACAAATCTGCATCTGTCAGATTAATTGTAACAGCTGCTTCTTTATTTTACATCAAAGCCAAAGCCAGGGGGGGACACTCCCATACAAGTGACAGTTGAGATTTTTCCTAGCGCCTCACAATGATGTAGCCAAGGAACCAAACAAAAGGATTGAAGTTGCTTAGCAACGTAATTGTTGACTTCAATGAGAATATATATTTGTTCTCCTTCATAATCTATTTTATTAATTTTAGAAGAAAAATATTTCGATAATGGAAGCATTATCGAAAGATAATTGTGAATGTAATACTTGGTGCGTTATGTTGAGGTCTTGCTCGTTAAGGGGTCACTATTGAAATACGTTGAAAGTATACTACAAAGACAGTTTGATAGAAGAACAGAAAGAATAAGATAAGACTGAACAAATGGTATTAATAGTAGTGATATTCAAATAAACATTTTATTATTCTATCTATGTACATTTCATTTAATTTTTATTATCTTTATCTATATACATATATATTGACATGACATACATCACGTTGACACAGTCGCGCTATCTAACGGATTTTCCGTGAAACCTATATCTGTTAACGTTCTCACACAGTATGACAAAAAATGTGAGGGTGGGGTATCTTTACCTAATATATAATTTACTTTGGTCAGAGCCCTTTAAGCTTTTAAGAAGCTGTTGTTACCTGTGATGTTCTAACCTATTATATTATTACTTGTTATGTTGTTTGTTTATAGGAATTTCGTTAATAGCACTGTTCTTTGACATCTTATAATCTGCTATTTAATATACTTTTAGCTACTGGTTTATGTACATATCGAAATGATGCCATGAAAATAAAGGACAACCTTTTCGCGGGTATAAAAGAGTATTTATTTAAGCATGTTTCTTAATATAAGATTCTGTGGCTTGTTTAAATTGAAATAAGGACAAGTAATAATTATATTTTTTCTTCCTTTTCCTTCTCTCTATCTGCTCCTTCTTTCATCAGCCTCTAGACTTTAATCAATGCGCTATCCTAGAGAACCTAGATTAATATCTTAATTTAAAAGAAAATCTTAGCAGCTTTTGAAATTTATTCAATGCTCAAGGGTCGGTTCAAATCTGACTAAATATCCATCAACCACTTCACAGAAGCAAGCGCACATGAAACCTCACGAGGTGGAATGTCCTATCATATGTTTGTCAGTTCTGACATTCCGCGATACATCTTCTATGAGATATGCACCGAGCCTAATTTAGAAATATTTTTAATTTTTACAATTCGAAACTCTGTAAAATTCTATATTAATAATAACATAAAGATTTATACCCAAAACGTGGAAATTCTTCAAGTCTATTCTCTCCAAACAAGACACCATAATTTTCAATAAACTCTCCAATTTGCCAGTGTCATAATCTTCATATTGCAGTCGCTTGACGCAGCGTTGCAGTATTTTGACTATATGTATATGAAGCTGCGTCACTTCAATGCTCTCCTGTGCATTTTGCTGAGGCAAAAGTTGGTCACGACTCAATATGGACAGGACTGTCATGTCACTATCGATAAGTGAGGACTTAACCCAAGATGGGATGCCATCTACGAATAAAAAAAAAGTGTGTTAAAAAATCTAATATAAAATTATAATACAGAAATCAACACTACACCCTATTTACAAACCAATAAGCTTGTAGTTCGCTTGAAATGTCCACTAAGTAAATATAGGGACCAAAAATAAAAAGTGAAAAGTTGTCTTTTAGATTGTAGATACTTTTTATTTATTATTTTAATGATAAATTGAAATAGCAGGAATACATTTTTAGAGGTACAACTTACCTGATTTAGGTGTACTATCCATATATGATATTACGAAATGCATAAGAGCAACAAGTAAAGCGATGTCGCGCGACGAGGCAGGCGGTGCTCGAAGGAAACGCTGCACATGTTGCCATGGCAATGAAGCGAACTCTTCACTCGTTGAGAACAAGGGCAACAGACGAACATAACTAGAATTTGGAAAAACAATAACAACGAGCCAGTACGTGATGAAAGATGACAGTCGGATACGTTAGGTAGATCATTTTTTAATTAATAATAAAATACGGGTGTAGATAGTATACGAAAAAAATACATATTATTATTTTCTGGTAGTGCTTAATATACAATTACCGATATCAGACTTTATTGACAATATTGCTTAAATTAATTATGAAAAAAGAAACATTTTATATTCGTTGTCACGTTGCCGTAAACAGTGCGCGACCTCACGCCCCTCTTACATAGCAACAGAGAATTAAACCTTATGCATACATAGAACGATAGTAAGCATTTCCGCGGAATATTTTGAAAATTGCATATTTTAAATTTAAACTTATTATATGAATGATACTTTTTAAATATATTTCATGTATATGTATTTACAAAATAAAAATATAAACAAGTCGTCTACGCCCCTGTTACATATATATTTATATATATTAAACATATACATATAATAGTGTCATATTTACTATCTTCTATGAAAAGGAGAAACTTGTAGAATCGACTAATATGTATTAAATAAATTATTAGAAACGATGTTCTTAACTCTTGATTTCGTTTGATCGTGATTTTTTGCATGATCTAACCATAGTTTTGATTCTTTATATTTAAAAACTTTACTAACGATAAACGCAACAGAGTTATTGAATATCTCAGTCTTACGATTGAAGTTATGAATAAACAACTTTCTTAAAGAATAGTACAATTTTTTAATACCAAATAAACCCGGGTAAGCACATCAGTATCAATGTTCAATAAATTATTGTCAACATATACCTCGTGTATTCATAAGTTTTATGGCAAACTTTTTACTGAAGAAATAAAATAAAATGTTACTGGCTGTTATTTTTTTTTAATCGAATTTGAATTTGGAATGTTATCTTTTAGTTTATTTGTATCGCAAATTTATTTGTTCATATTTTCTAATGATAGAGGGAACGAAACAATAACGAGCAACTGTCATTTCGCTATTCAAAGCGAGAAAAAACCGATGCAGATTTTTCGCGAACTGAAGTTTTCCTATAAGCCGTAACTTCGTCTATTGCACAATACAGCGGTACATAGAGACAGGTTCTCTGCAAAATCGCCAAAGGAGGGGTCGGCCACGCTCTGTGAGGACGCCTGCGAACATTAAATTTTTACTATCGAAGAAAAGTTTAACCGACAAAACAATAAAGTCTACACTAAAAGTGCTACCTATGCTAGGTGTCCCAACTTCTGCACAGTATGTCTCGTTATCATCCGGCTAGTTTGATGGTATGGTGTAGAGTTTCGTATAAAGGTGACACTCCCCTCTTTGAATGTGTCAAGGTGAAAGCCAAGAATTATCAGAGTGACATTTTAGAGCCCGTGGCGAAATCCCTGTCTGCTACGTTATTTCACAATAAGAATTGGGTTTTTCAACAAGACTCGTCGACATCCCATAAGGCAAAAAGCACCCAAGCTTGGTTGAGGGAGAATATGCTGGCCTTCGTCGCGGCGGTCGAGTGGCCCCTCCTCCAGCCCCGACCTTAACCCGCTGGATTATTCTTTATGGACTGAATTAGAGCTCAGGGCCTGCCGAATGTCCCAGACAAATTTAGAATCACTGAAGCGAACCAATGTTCGAGAAGCAAAGCGAATTCCGCTAGAAAAGTTTCGTACCGCCATTGATGACTGGTGAAATCGTCTAAGGGCCTGAATTAAAAACAAGGCCGGTCTTTTTGAATAAAATATCAATTTTTTTATTGATTTTGTTGATTATTTTTATCTCAGAAATTAGTTAAGTTACTCAACTTTAATTTCGTCTCAAAACTTATGAACACACGAGGTATAATGTAAAGATGGTTACTACATCTGTAATGGCAGTCTAGGCGAATTCGCGGTTCAATCAACTCCACAGTTCCATTCCCAAAGTAATCAACTATAAAAATACTTATAGAGTTGTTATAGAATTAGAAAACCCTAATTCCTTAGTTCCCCATTTAATTTTAGAAAAATCCTATATTAAGGTTATTATGAAGTTCTGTTATTACTAGTGACATATTGTATAGTTTTACCTTTCCAGTAAAGACAGGGCATCGATAACTTGCGCGTGTGAGGTGGCATTCTCCAATGCTAGTAATGCACTAGTAGCTGTATGTTGAGGGCTGGAAGCTTTGAGTAGAGCTCGATCCTGATTGGTGGGTTGGAGTAAGAGGGGCGCGGGGGGAGGAGCCGCTCCCTTGGCTACACGCTGCGTACCTTCATATGCGCACCACCAGCGTATACGCAAACTTCGACGCCATTCTTCGTTGTTAGTTAACCATTCTAAAAAAGAGAATTATTATACTTGATTAATTTTGCATTTACAATGCTATACTAGATAATGTTCTTAATGAAAAATGGTTAAAAAATCCTCCAACCCCAGGTGCTCTGAGACCCTAACTTTACGCAATCCGGTGACTGCCCTAGCCAATGAGCTACTCAGGACTTTACAGGACTGTCAAATTTTTCAAGCATTGGTAGTTATCGCTATTAGTGAACCTATTTACATCAATGTTCAGGCAATCCACCTAAACAGCCGAAAGAAAGATTTTAAACTTCCAATTAAGACGAAAATTTGGTCTAATTATGATAAATGTTTTGTCAATTTTTAATTTTAAACAAGTACTCACGTTTATTGAAATATGAACGTCACGGCTCGACATGTCAAGTAACTGATTAAATTAGTGGAACAATTTAAATTAATTATTTATAAATTCTTTTTCTTTTATTTAATAATACTTTTTGGAGAAGACTAAATCCGATAGTGGTTTAATATGACCACATAAAGGTTATAAAATATTTTTCCTAAAACAGGCAAATAGTCAATTGAATTGCCCGACCGTACTTACCTAAGGCCGAGTGCACTGTATTAGGACTAGTGTTCCAGTAGCTGTTAGCATTAAAAGGCAATACAGTCCGAAGGGTAACACAGTGAGGTAGAGCTGGAACACGTTTTCTATCTGAATCTAACTCTTGAAGTGTGAATCCCGACCACGCTATCAGTGCTAACACTTGCGCCGACATTAATACAGCTGAATCGTTTGCTGGGAACACTAATATCACTGCAAAAACACATACATATAAACAAAATGAAAAGCAGGGCAGATTATGTAAAGCAAATTTTATATAAAACTAATATTTCATTATAGGTAAACAACTTACCCCTTAATAGTAATGTGGGTAGATCAGTGACTTTGGCCAAACTATGTCGACCGGCAAAACAAACACTGTTCAATACAGACACACAGCTTATGGCACACTCTGGATATGCTAGGTAATCGTTCACCATCAAAGACATCCTAAAAACAAAACATTAAATGAACATCTATTAAGAATTCGTATTAATCACATGTCAAAGTTTTTATTTGATATTTGTACAGCGCCACCTACCTTTATACGTTATAAAGAATTCCGATACAATTTTTTCACATATGTTCATACAAATAAACTTAAAGTAAGAAAAGTACTTACGAACAAAATAATATAAAATTTAATAGACATACAATAAAATAATAGTTTTTCAATATTACTGCGTTTTTCTGTCGCCAGATAACAGCACTTGCATATTAAACAGTTTTCTATAAACGTCATTCACTGAGTAGTGAGCTAAGAGTACAGTACCTAATAGTAAACATAATAGGCTTTTAATGTTCTTTGAATTTAAAATTAAAGTGTAATTTTATCCCATAACACAGTGTAGCTGCATATTTGGATGCAAAAAGGAAAAACATATTTCGACAAAAACAAAATGTTCAAAAAAGTTCGTTTGTTTACTACAACTAGGCGCCATCTACGCCGGGCTTTGCGTAACATTCCCTAATAGATAGATAGATTAATAATATTTATATCAAACAAAACATTATATGTAACTCGGTGTCGTAATGGATAAGCGGCGCAGCCCGCGACCTTTGTTGTCAAACAACTTTAGCAAGGTCGGTCACGAGATGGGTGGCCAAAAGAATTATTATCTCGAGCTACTCTGTACTTTGAAAGGCACGTTAAGCCTTTGGTCCCTGCTGCATTTGCATTCGTTAAAACCCTTAACTATCCATAAGGAAGACATGAGCCCTGCAGTGGCGACGTAAAAGGGCTTATAATGAAACATTATATAGGTACCTCAACACAGCCACTACCACTCTCAGACCGTCATTTTGTAAGAACGCATCGTGACACTCTTGTTGACGCAACAAAACTGCGAGTTGCTGCAAAGTACTCCGCCGCAACGACGGCTCTAACGTAGGTTGAACAGTCTCTCTGGTAACGTATTCAGTACCATGTTCGTCTAATACTATATCTTGCTTCAACACGTCCAAGATTTGTAACAACCCTGCTATCTAAAATTCAAAAATAAACTCTATTCTTTCAACATCATAAGTTAAAACGACAATATTACCATCCATGTTATTTGCCATTCGAATAAAAGTAAAATATAAAAGTCAACAGTTTCTAAGTAGACTCGGTCAACTGAAGATTACCAAAAATATTTTTTTCCTTTAGTTGAGTCAATATATTTTATTTAATCTTAAAAAAAAAAAAATCGGCATCCAATTTCAGAGATGAGATAACTACTGGGTAACACAGGAATTGCGCAATGTTTTCGTTTTCAACCTCCTGTAAATTTATTTATTTTTTGTTGACCGTATCTACTCAGACGCCTTCAAAGTTATAAATCTGTTTGATACGAAATGTATTAGAACCAATTTCAGCAAAATATATCCGAAAAAGCAAATTTGTTTATCTAGTGTTTGGCATTGTACTGCAATATACATATGTGTACTGACTTGGGGGTTTTTCGTTGGAGAGCTAGTCGAGTCAACGTTGAAGTCTTGTGGCTGCACTCGCTTCAGAGCATTCATCAACACGTCTGCCCGTAAAGCTTCTTTTGGCGGCAAATATCTTTCATCATCTGAAAAAAACCATTACTGGCATTGACAGGAAATATAACTCGTACTATTAGACATTTAACTCATTCTAGCGATTACACTAGTACCACTAAGTTTATACATTACTTAAAGTCAGCCAACAAACAACAAGCAAATCTATACAGAGTAATCTTAAGGTAATCTCTTCCACCTCATGAACTATGAGGTGGAAAAGGGGCGGTGACAGGCCAAAGCTATCATATACTCGCCTGAGATACGGAGAAGAATAGTAGCACTTTTTACAAAGAAATATTTAGCTACTTTATTATTGTTACAATAATGGGTCTTCTCGAATTGTATTGGGAGCGACTTATTACATACGCGTACACGTAGTAACAATAAAGAAGAGAGATAATACACGTCCAGGGTTCAGGAAAAGCCGTATTTAGCGCAAATTGTGGGATTGCACTTCACTTGCAAAGCACTAGTACGTAAAGTTTTATGTAGATTACTTGTGAACAATTGCGAGATAAGCTTTAGAGTTAGCAATACAAGAAGTGGGAGACTTGAAGCTCGTACTCGACTTAGCATCAAACAAAACTCTTTATTTTCAGTTACCAGACTTGACACCTTACACTGTGACATATAACAATTTCTTAATTACATATTAGGGGATTAAAGTTAAATTGTGTGATTAAGAAGTTCATAAAGTTAAAAGATTATTCATCAAATATTTTTGATAAAAACATTTAAATTTTTAAATCAATAAACAGAAATATATTTTTTCAATATTTGTAGTATGTGTTTCACGTAAAAAAACATAATTCAGAGGGTGTGACGTCATTTGTGGATAAATTGGTAGTAAAACTATCCAGCAAAAGCCTTGGCAATGTTGATAGTGCAAAACAATTTTAATGAAATACTAAATTATTAAAGATTCTTTTTTAACTGAATGTCAAAATCATTTTGGTGTTTTATTCATTTGGTGAGTTTGAACATAAAAACAGCATATTTTTTTCCACTGAAAATTCCTTTTGTTTACCATACAAATGACATCAAATCCTCCGAGTCACTGTTTACCTGTTTTTTTTAACAGTTAAATTAGAACTATTATTTACATAAAATAATATTTTTAAAGGAATAAACATCTATATTGATTTATCTAAAATAGTTTAGTGAAAGTGATCAGATCCCCTATTATAAAGATTTCAAATATTATTTTGGTGTGTGTGTGAGTTTGTATGTATGGATATACTAACCGAGCAGGAGGCATAGTTCGTGCGCAGCATCCAACTGTACTGCTACGCAGCGTACAAACAATAAGCGTACCAGACCCGATACCACCTCTGCCAGGGACACACCCATGCATGATGCTATATCCAATTCTAAAGATTTGCAGATAGCTTTACCTGTTTTTGAATAAAATAAAAACCGTATAAATATATCATCTTTATGTAAGATACAAATATGTATATTTCCTCATCTTCGATTTCATTCGCTCTACAAACTTCACACGTCAATTACTGTTAAAGACAATTTTGCGTATTATATTTTAATCTTGTACTTCTTAGTTTTGTCTCATTTTATTCATTTCTGAAATAGCATCTGTACTGCTAGATATTTTTTCTGTTAATCTGTCACTGTCATTGCTAAGTTCCTATGACCATTTTACAGCTCCATCGTCACCAGCATCATCGTCAAAGCATACAGTACCAAAGTCCTCATAAATATGAATCTAAAGAGCCCAAACACGATGCAGTTGCGTCATTTCATCACTAAGTTCCTATGACCAACTTCCTACTTCATCATCATATCATATTGCATTGTCAATCTGACTTACATGTCTATATAAAATTTCAATTCTATCGTACATTAAGAAGTGGCTCAAGTTTGAGTTCCAAGATTTTCGCTCTAACGGTATTAGTAAAGGCAAGTTAAATAAAAGCTTGTAAAAAGAAAAGGTAAGATAAAGTCAGTTCAAGTTTTATTAATCTAGAACAAGGTATAGCTTAACTAGGAAACGCCTAATCTTACGAATCGCCTAAGCAGATTAGTTAAATCCCAAGTAATCAAATTTTATTTTATCCCTTGACACATTTGTGATATGTCATATTACGCAAATGCTTAGTGCAAGGCGCCATAAAGCGCATGTCATAACTTTAGATATTGCTTTTTGACGTTAGGTAGTTCCTGGTCATTAGTGAAATGCATTTTCACCTTAGACGATTATAATTAACTGTGATTTTACAATAAGTAAGCGTTTTTTTAATATCTGTTATTTCAAAAAACCTCGTTTTGAGGTATGTTGTAACACTTTTACGGAACTAGTTGTAACGTGTTTCCGTAAGACTGATTTCATATTTTATCTACGTCAATCAAAAGGCTGATTACTTAAGAAATTCAGATTTTGTTATTATAAACGGCTGTGAGCCTAAACTTCCTTTTTAGTTAAAGAAATAATATATACTACTAATACACTCTTCAGTTTTTCTTCAAAATCGTTTTTACTGAAAGTCGTTACAGGTTTGATAAAAATTCTATTTGAAATAGTTGTTAATTGGAACAGTACTGCTAGATTTACTAAATACAATTTAAGTAGGCTTTTATAGCCAAGAGACCACAAGTTGTCACAACTAGCCCCCCCCCCTCCCCTATACAAATCGTATCGAGAATAAAAAGTGACCACATTTCCAAATTCTAAATTAAAAACATCCAAACCCTGCTAATATACTACGAAGTTGATTCACATTACCTAGCTATTGCATACAATGCCGGATTACACAGATCACCGGTAACATTACAAAATACAGTGCCACTGGTACTATTATTTTGGTGGCATTATGAGACATAAAATAATATAGAATACTACTAACCTAGCTGCGTATTATGTTCCGCATATACATGTAACAAAGGCAACACGGGTAACAAGCTGGCTAGTAACCGCCACCATCCAGAATCGCTTAGCGCTAATCTCCCGCGCAATAAATACAACATTATATTTGTAGCGCTCACTTCCACCTGGAAAAAAATAAATTAATAATTATAACAACGAGCACTCCGTCCTCTCTGTTCTGAAGATAGATAGATAAATAGATAAAAACGAAAACCAAACATACATACATACAACATATTTCATAACATATAGTAATGAAAATATTACTCTGACCTATATAAAAAGTTACAATAAAGTTGACAACAACAAAATTCAGAATGGACCTAGTATGTTAGACCTAGGCTAAGTAGGAAATCCATCTAGAAAAACACAAAAGGAATATCCATAATGAACAATCACAATAGATAAACAAATTACTTTTTACATTTTTATATATATTCTTAATAAAATACAGGGTTAGTTGTATTTTACAATACCAACAATCACAAAGGAACCTCGTCATAATTAACAATGCTTGTTCTATGACTTCTGATTTGCATTCATAATTTTTTTTTAATTTACTACTTCAACACAAATAACTCTTCGTGTATCTAATATTCGTCGCCACCGTACCTTACCTTAGTCCTTTCATTTAATAAATAGTCACGAAAAACAAAAAACTTGGAAAATCATTTTTGTTCAAGGTATTAAATCAACTGTTGTTTTTTTATGATTTTGGGTATGTAGTTTCGTAAAATAGCTGTTGGTTTAGGAATAACCCTGTATATTTTTGTCTTGCTAAGTAATTTCAACTTTACCTGTTTTGAATTTGACGGAAGACCATGACAGCATATTTCGGTCATAACACCCACATCGCACAACAACATCAAACATTTCTCGTTTTCACTCTGATTCAGGTCATCTCCAATAAGTACAAACTTCACCATCTCAGCAATCTCTGAATAAAACTTAGCACGCACCCATTCGACATTGTGCGCCATCAATTGTAAAGCGATACTGCGGACTAAGTTCCAATCTAAGTCGGCCATATTAAAATCTTTAGTTTTCTTTAGTAAAATATCCGCTACATCATTCAAATAAATTTCACTCATATGAAGTTCCAATACCGGCAGCGACTTGTTTATGACAGTAAAAACGGCCTTTGTTTGTCTACAGCTTTTATTTTTTATAAAACGAACAGCGTCATCCATACATGATGTTAATTGAATTAACTCTCTATATTTAGTTTTATATTCTTGATCTACAGAAGTTTTAGATGTCTGAAATTAAATATAATTTAATAAAACAAAAATAATAAAAACTATAATAAGGATAAATTCCTCGAAAGAAGTAACTTCTGTGGATACAGAAATGGATATCAGAACATCCCACGAAGAAAAAACCCCTACTTAATATGAATAAGATCTATTAATTACAATTTCAACTGATAATTGAAGAATCTAATAAAGTACCTACTTTTTAATTCACTACAAACAAATATCAAACAATTATCACAATAAAATAAAAAACTTGTTTATGTAACGCTCAAAAACAAATAATGCCAAGTTAATACATGTACATAACTAGCTGTTTTCCCGCGACTTCGCGCGTAAATTATAGCTTTTACCTCGTATGACGTAGCTACCCTAGATTAAGTTTCTAAGGTTAAGTTACATTTTGTAATACTTACTTGTAATGCTAACGTTACCCTCTCGTTTAAATCTGGGTATAGTATCTGAAGCGCAGGGTCTAACTGTGCTGCTTGCAAGGCGGATATAAGCGCAGTAGGAGGTAAGGCGGAATCTCGGGCCCACTTTAAAAGAGTCTCAGCGCAGACAACTAAACGTATCCATACTGCCCGAAGGTGGACCACTTCGGAATCCTGATCAAAAGCATTTCTGAAAAATATATACTTATAACTCGAATACAAAGTCACATTGCTAAAGCCTGACTATGTAATTACATTTACTCATGCAGAATAACCGCCTCTCTCACCATAACTCTAGCCATAGCTATAACAACGTTTTATTGATATTAGCAATGAATTATTTGATACTGTTTTATAATGTTTTTATTATTTATATATTTAATAAAACATTTTGTATTTTTTTGTAAATATATGTTTGTCTAATTCTTTTTTTTTTTTTTTAATTTAGTCTAACTTAAATAATTTAGTAAACTATAAAAACCAAAACCATTAACTAAATAACAAAATATGAACATTATATTGACAAAATCAGTAAAACGTATTCACAGCTAAGGCTAGTTAAAGCGGGAGTTAGGCGACTTATAAAATCAGATAATAACACGCGTTTAAAACATTAGTAACCCCTCAGAAGTATATAAAACCGGCGAGTAAGTATGAAAAGAGCAATAATATATAAAGTGGATGTGCCGAAAGATGTATGCAAAGACCGTGCCTTGTGTCACTCGGTCCACTCTGCCTAGAGGTGTGAAGATAAAAAGAATATTAAAGAACTTATATTAATATAGCTAATCGTATATTAAAATGCTTGTTCTATAACTTTTGATAGATCGGTACGGCAAATTTCTTTCAAACTCATTAAATCTTGCATATTTCAAACCTTTTTCGCAGTCAAAGGCATGTCCTTTCCCGGGGCAAAACAATTTCTCTACCAAATTTCATTAAAATCGATGCAGTGATTTAGGTGTGATATTCGTAATATAACCAGGGACAAATCGAATAATTTTTCTTTTAAGTATATGGGCTTAGATTAGACTCTGTCCTTGTCCCTCCCATTATTACAGCTTGCTACGTGTTGGCATCAAAATCTAGTATATCGTCTATCTTTGTCTAATCGAGATTACATTTATATCTTAGTAAATTTATCCACGTTTCCTATTATTTTGATCCTACATAACTATTAAACTTAATACTTATATTTAAACTAAATATTAGGTCCTTACATATGAAATTGGTGTTTGGTATGTGAGGAACAAAAAGTCTAATATTTTTTAATATATTTATTTAATCAAAATATAAACCATTGTTTATATTACTATATAGAAATTATTACGGTATTGAAATGCCTTTATTACGTTAACATTAGAATTGATGTTCACTAATATTATAATATTTCACCGATATTTGAATATAAGTTATTCTTAGTTTTGTAGTGTCCTACACATAATGGCGTTAGAGAAGGCGGTTACGACAATAGTTATGGAGATTAGTAACGTTAAATTGTTATAGATTTGCATAATGCGAGTTAATCAATAAATTTTTGGAAACGATTTGCACTGCCCCATCGAAGTAGAATTTTTTCCAATATCCAAATTTCGAAATAAAAAATAGTAATCTGTTGGAGCAAATTCCGGGGAGTGGATGTCTTAGACAGTCCAATGAAGCTCTTCTAATTTGGTAGGTGTCTGTTGTGCAATGTGTGGTCCAACCTCGGTTATTCAGCAGCTATTTTTCCCAGCATGGTTTGCAATTGCTGACAATAGACGTCTGCCATAATCGTCTGGCCAGATTTGAGAAAACTGTAATTAATGACACCGGCACTAGTTCAGCAAATGCTTACAATGAACTTTTCTGGGGTTAATTTTCGATTGGGGCAGGATTTGGCTAGCATGCCAGGGTATAACCATTGCGACGAGCGCTTCCGACTATCATAAAGAATCCACTTTTCATCACAGGTAATGATTCGATTTAAAAACCCTTAATTATTGTGCTGGTTAAGTAATGTAACGCAGCAGTCAAAGCGCGTTTGCCGGTTTGCTTCACTCAATTCGTGAGGTACCGACCTTTCATGATTTTTAATCTTTCCAATTTGCTTCAAGTGTATTAAAACAGTTTTATCACTAACACCGCAGCCTGCAGCTAACTCGGACGTGGTTTGCGATGGATCCGCTTCCACAATAGCCTTCAATTCTTCATTATTAACCTGGGTCTCCGGCCGTCCACGGGACTTGTTCTGCAAGTCGAAATTTCCAGAACGAAAACGTTGGAACCAAAAACGCACGTGTTTTCTTTTGCGACACAACCGCCATACACATCATTTATCCGTCGAATCCTTCGGAACTCGTACTCGTAAATAACAAGATATTTCAAATTTTCCATTTTTTATACTGGGTGACGTAAAGAGGGAAAACAGAAGAAGAAAAAAACAAATGAATGCCGCCCAACGAAACAATACATATGTATAAATATGAATTTGGAATTCCCAACCAAGGAGAAATTTGTGATTAAAGTGGCCAGTACGACAAAACGCCAATCTCATATATAAGGATCTAATTAATAAATATCCTCAGACCAAATGAAAAGTATAGACGGAGTTTTGCCTAATAGAAAAGTGAAGCCAACAAAACTACTCCTCGGCGTATTCGTACACAGTTTCACGCACACACACATAACGAAACTACGCCTTCCTTATCAGACTAACTATCGACAGCGGGCGGAACGTTACGTTATAAAAATAATCAAAAGAATTGTGTAGTGAAAGGTTGTAAAAACCAATCCTCAAAAAATAAAAAGCAGTATGGAATCACATTTCACACATAAGTATTGAAGAAAACTTACATTTTTAGTAATTTTAAAATAAAATTTAAGTTACTGTTTGAAACACAAAACCTCAGCCAAATATTACCATCGTTAAACGTTATTATTTACCCCAAAATCAGGTAACTTTAATTTTATAACGCGTTATTTCTAACAAAACACAAATTACGTTACGTATTTGTTTCTTGTTGTATGAAAACGATTTTTAATATATTTTGCATTCATAATGCTACATTGAGATCCAGATCACAGATATTGAAGTGTTATAATAAGGAAGTAAAAAATAAAAAACGGGTTTAATTTTTTACTTCTTTATTTTTCCTAAACGGGTTCGCATTAATTTTTAGATTTAAACCGACATCAAAATGTGAAAGAGAAGTGGATTTCAGTCATTCGTAATAGTCGGAATGAACCTTCATTGAATCCAACTTTGCTTAGCGTAGTTTGTTCGTCTCATTTTAAGAGCGATGATATGTATTATACTATATATTTTCTATATATTAAAATTTTAGTTAACATAGTGAAAGTTTTCAAACTTATCTTTAAAATTAATTATATAGTCTCTCTAATGTATGGTCTCCAATAGTAATTACCTACCCTTAAAGATTTCAGAATATCAAACAATATTATTATTCTTTTGTTTAAACAGCCAAAACCAACACATCACTCACATCTAATTGCAATGTCTCCATTATTTCTGTTAAATATTAGCGTCGATTAATATTATTGTTATCTTTAAGGTCCCAACTGCAGTATCAACATATCATTTTTTGCTTTAAATCAGCCTTCTACTTAACATACCGTAAGTCAAAAATATCGACTTGGCCATATCGTTCGCAAAAATGACTGAGTCATTAAGTGTTTCTAAAAATCCTTAAAAATGAGAAATACCTGTACTTGAAAATAATGTCCACTAAAGAAATATTTTTGGATCTCATCATTTGGATATCAACAACAATCCATTTTAACTGATTGGACAAGAGACATTCCATTGTAAAATAACTTCTCAAGCATGAAATATAGTAGAAGAAATAAGCCGCCCTGGCTTTATTTACTTGTAAATGGTTTTTAATTTATACAAACACAAGTATTATATATATTGCTGAATATATGAAAATAGTTTTATCCTTGGTACACCTTTTCTTCTTCAATATGCTGATATTGACAAACGAATTTACACTATATTATTAAATAACATAGCATTAACGTCGTAACGTTAAATTATTGGGGTGTTTTAAATGACTATGGTCACACTGGCACGCACACTACAATTGCTAAAAATCGGCTTCACTTTATTGTTCAGCGAACTCCGTCTTTACTTTTTATTTGGTCTGAGTATATATCAATATAAATATTGTTGTTGGATATATTTAACTCAATATTAATTAATTGGTGAACTCAATCACTATTAGTGTTAATATGCTAGTACTTTAATACGAAAATAAACAAACCTGTATTTATTCATTAGGTCTCCCAACAATCTCATAACCATACAACTCTTGTGTGCTATGTCTCTATGTGTTTTATTACTATGGTCTTCTCTCCAGAAACATTCACTGACGCAAGTCAATAGCAATTTTATAAGACTTTGTAATAAATCTAAACAAGTATTTAAATCACTCTATAAATAAAAGAAGTAAAAATTATTAGTAGTAGAAAGTAGTAGTAAATTGTAGTAGGAGGAACAAAGTAGTAGAAAAACAAAGTATTTTTTTAGTTCTTACCAACTTTAGGATATCTCTTTTATTAGCAGTCTCAACTATAGCAATACTTCTAGACATGATTGAAAGCACAGCATACATAGTGTCCAGAGCGTATAAAGGCGCTGGCAGCTGCCTCAAGGCTATCATACCTTCTTCATGGTTTGATACATTCAAATTGTCATTGCTTGCAATTTCATCTAAATCTATAGTCGCCTCTTCTCCTAAATTTCCTTCATCATCTGATAACTGTAAAATAAATTTACTGCAAAGCAAAATACTACAGCTTTTCTTTAAAACTTAGTCTTTCTTAAATATGCCTATACATACAATCGCTTCTAATACCCGTTAATATAAGTATGTAGTAATGCAGCGCGATAGTTTAAAAGTGAATAATGCCTATACAGTCAAAAGATCGTCAAATCATACAAGCCCAATCTTCGCGCCTTTTGTGGTTGTATAATAATATAACGCTACAACAATAAAGTTTACGCTGTTTTAAAATGCAATAATGTACGGGTATGACGTGTCTAATAATAAAATGTCATTGATATTAAGCTGACATTTTTACCAAACAAATAAGAATTTTAGTGAAATAAGAACTATTAATAGTTAGAATACTATTATTAATTGTTAAAAATTCTTACATCATTCGAATTCTCGTGTATTAGTTAAAATTATTTGAGTAAGTTATGACCAGAGGTCGGAATTAGGTAGAGTTATATATGTACTTGCATCGAAATGTTGATATTAATGTGGACCTTCGTGGCAACATCGCGCGTATTGGTATTTTGCAACTTTGGACATCCGATGTCATTGATGTAAGTTTGGCAACGTCGTGCGTGCAGTAGTTTAAATTGTGTAAAAGTAAATAACTTTTTATTTTAAAAATCACGGAAGTTTTTCTACTCTTTAAAATTAATCTCGGGATTTGAGGCATATCCACTTTCTTCTTTCGCTGTATGAAATCAGTGTAAGTACATGAATAACTCTACCTAATTCCGACCACTGGTTATGACACTTTTAAAAATAATTCCTTCTGTCGACTATAGATACGTATTAGTCAGTAGCGTAACTACAGTGTGGCAAGTCGGCAAAATGCCACGGGCCCCCAGCTGGAAGGGGCCCCCGGTCAGAGGAAAGACCTTATTCCTGACATTTATTATTGCCCAATTGTAAAAATAAATAGAATATCCCATGAATTTGTCACAGGCCTCAAACAGTATAGTTACACTACTGGTTTTAGTGTTAGAGTAAATAAATATACTTAGTTCTGATTTTGATGACGTTTTCTTAATATGAATTCTGAAAAATAACTATGATAATGATAACATAAAGTTCGTAAAGTAGAGAACAAAATATTATGAAAACAACAAAAAATAAATTTATGTTGAGATAATATGCGATTATTTTATTAAATTTAAAGTCGAATTTATCAATCAGTGTATTGTGATACCTAAACAAACATTTCTGCATCTGTCCGACTAATCTTAAACAACCTATTTATAATCCAACAGGTCCCCACATTGCAGTTTTCTTGTCTGATTAATATCTTTTAATATTATACCTACTAATATACTGCATTAGTTGTTTTATATACATACACATATGACGTCATAATACAACAGATAAGGTTTGCATGGGTATAAAAGTTTGAATATACATAATTTTAAGGTGAGAAAACTTGTTTATTCAAATAATAATATTTTTATTGCTTATTAAATTAAAATAATCATGTACAAATACTTTTACAAACAGATTAGAATATTGTTATCCTATTAATATTATAAATGTGAAAGCCTCTTTGTTTGGGTGTTTGTCCGTAAATCATGCCGAAATTACTCAACGGATTTTGATGAAATTTGGTATACAGATAGGGTATTAGCTGATTTAGATTATAAGACTTTATTCCACTAAACATTTTCCTAAGGAAAATGAGGGCGAAGCTGCTGGCGAAAGCTAGTCTATAATAAATAATAGTTTCTAAGTTTTTATTACCTTAATGCTGCCATATATTAACTCGAGAGAAGACCACTCTAATAGTCTTCTGTGAAGGGCTCTAGTAAGACATAGAAGAACATTTAATGCTTCATCTACTTGATTTCCATGATTTCCTTCTGATATTGAGAGCAAGTTCTGAAAATCATATTAATGTAGTTTATAATAATTATATTTGTTGAGTAACACAATTACATCTATTTAATTTTTATTTAAATTTATAAGTGTCAATTCTAAAAAAAAATAGATATAAAAAACAAGCAAAGAGCGATTCAGATTCACAGGTAGAAGGTTCTGTGCAAATTCTGATGTTTTCCTATACTCTAAAACTTGTTTTCAGTATAGGATTTTGTTATTTTCAAATTTCAATTGAATTGGTCCAGTAGTTTCAGGGTCAACCACTGGAAAAATAGCTGTGATAGACAGAGAGACAAGTAACTAAAGAGACTTTATAGAATCACTCATTACAAACTTATAAATATAAGCCTTCTGTTTTTCTATTTTGGAAGGAAACCCTTGTATGGAAAAAGGGAATGGACAATACATATACTATGAAAATATATGATTAATGCTATGTATTAAAATTAATGCTATGTAGTAGGCATGTGCGCCGATGCCGAAATCTTCGGCGGCGGCGTTCAACTAAAAATTCAGTGGCGGCGGCGTAAATGGCGGCGTAAACGGCGTCGTTATGTCAAATGATGGAAAATTAAAATTTAAATAATTCAGAATGCCTTTATTGACATAACAAATATAAAAGCTACTTAAACTAATAACACCTTTTAAGTAACAAATATGGCACAACCATACTCTTCAAAATTATGTAACATAGTCATAATGATGTTAAACAACAAGATGAAGGTACTATTTTGTTCGATAACTTTTTGCCATCTTGTAGGTAGGAACATGATCCCATTGCTATAGAAATTTTGGGGCGTCTAATCAAGAAACCGCGTCAAGTGATTTTCACAATACACGCGTGATGTTAACTGAACACTGCCTAAAAAATTCTGTAGAGACCTAAACAGGTGGAAAGCTGAAGGTGCAAGGTCAGGACTATACGGCAGATGTATTAACACCTTCCAGCCAAACTCTTAATTTATTTAAAAACCACTCCCTTTCTATTGATTAATTCTGGCCGCTTTCTCTCAACTTCTTGCTTTCATCTCATCAGTTATTCGCAGTAGAGTTCAGAATCGATGATGCTGCCTGACGGTAACAGCTCATAATGAATAATACCCTTCCAATCCCACCATACAAACAGCATCACCTTTTTGCCAGCTAACCCGGATTTCGCCATAGTCTAAAAAGCCTGACCGACCTTTGACCACGATTTTTTTCGCATGTTCTTGTCGTACGTGATCCAGTTTTTATCACCATTTAGAAAAACAAATGAAAATCACACATTTTCTTAATTTGAATTCGAAATCTTCTTTAAAATTTGAACTTTTTAATAATACCGCAACCAGCCATATAGAAATGGTATAGCCAGAAAGATTTTAGTACAACTTTATGCATACTATATACGAAAAGACTTTTTCCCCAACCTAATAGTTATCACGTATAGAAATTATTTTATTGATATTATTCCAAGTTAGACGCAATCGTTTAATCGTTTTAGTAAGGCCAGCTACAAAGAATACATGTTCCCTAGGTGTGCTTGTAACGGGTTAGCTAGAGTAGACAAATAAGAGTAAGTATTGAATTTTTTATTTCTGCCAACTTTATCTTGAAAACGAGTGCTACATTAATTGTACAAGATTGACAGCTGTAATTAAAGAAGAAAGATTCGATTGTTTATTTGTTTGCATCTGTTCATTGACTTTACTTTTGTATTCATTAAAATTTTACTAAATATGGAAATACGAAACGGAATTAACACGTGCCGCACAGAATGCACTATGTTGCTTAGCAACCGAAAGAACGATACTCGCAGTTCGTATCATACCGCGCCGTTTACGCCGGTCTTTCGAGCCGGTCAGCAGCGGCGTGTCATGATCGGCGGCGTCGGTCATCGGCGCGGCGCGGCGCACACGTCTACTATGTAGATTAATGCTAAAATACTTTTTAATGCCTAATCTAAACATACGATTTTAAATTTCTTTTTTTTATAAAAATATTAATATTCTTATTTTTATATGCAGATGTAGATACGTTATAGTTCGGTTTATAATGTACCTACCTCTGCAGCGTTAGTTTAAATGAGTTAATTATAGTTATGGTCAACAATATATGAAGGTGTCGGAAAATTAAACAGCTACATTTTACATTTTGAATTTATTTTTAATTTTTATTAATCTTGTACAAAGAGAATCACAACGTGTCAGTTTTAAACTGTAACGCTTATAATTAACTTCTTATAAAATTAAATCACAGAAGTTATCAGTTTCATAGAGTATCCTTATTACTTTGAATTGCTGCGTTACCAAAATTTAACTTTATAACATAAACTTTTCTATTTATCACAAATAAAAACTTAAAATTAATACCAACTTACAACATAATCTTTCAATTTTAATGAGTAATACGTACGTATGAAATTAAAGCACGTTAAATAATAAGAATCATAGATATATTGAAAATACTATAAAAAATCTGAGGGACACAAAAGTAACGCAGTAGTAAGCCCAGTAACACGGTAGTATTTTCTTACATACAATTCTTGTACATACAATATTTGTACTTTCTATAGAGATCTAGTATAACGATAAAAACATAACAAAATATAACTTCCTATGACTCGATATAAAATAAAGTATCTTCAATGAAATAAATTTAAAAACTCAAAAAATAAAAATCACAAAATCAACCTTAATAACTAATGGAACACTTTCAAATCAGTCCTACTTTTCAAAGACGTTTAATGGCTTATCATAATCAAAGTATATCCTTTTACCTTTTACGACAATTTTAGGATTAGGAACAATTTCTAAGATGTTATCGTAAGGTTCGTAAGAAATATCAGTATCTACTGCTTTGAACCTTTTACCAGTTTTATCTACTGTCTTGTGAAACATAATTTTGACGTCTCCTTCTTCATCAACTTCACTTTTAGCAACACGTAGATAAGTGTAATGTTTGTCTTTAACAGAAGACACTTTTACTAAGACATGGACACCGTCTGATATCTTTGTAGGATGAATATTTTCCTTTTTAATTAATTGCCTTTCTTTTATATTAGAAACTGATGGTTGGCTATAGCTGGCTAAGAACTCGTCATCAGAGCTGGAAGGTGTGGAATAAACCGTATTGTAAAATGTTCTTCTAGGTACGGTAATTATATATAAAATATCATCGAGAACTATTTCCTCATCCAATCCATCCAAGAGAATACCTTCTGTTAGTGTGTCAATAACGGGAGCAGGAACAGGGTGATAAGTTTTTGGGCTCATGCATGAGCAAAAACCTCTTTGGCAAAAGCAACTGAGATCTCTATATTGAAGTTCACCGGGAGTGTCAGTAAAAACTTGGTGTACTAGCATCGTACCTTGATCGTACAAGGTTTTTAGGTAGAGCTTTTTCAATGTTTTGTATGTCACTGTCCGTCACTAAATACAAACGGACCTTGTTTAACTCCTTCAGTGTTTTGGTGAGCGATAACCCTGGTTTTGTAGAGAGCATCTAAAATATACTGCGCATTAGTATGTATCTTGCATAGGCAAATCTCTCTTCTAGAAACTGAAGGTGGCTTTATATAAAATGGCCTGTTTTTAATGAAATACGAATAAGAACATCTCAAGTCTGGATTTTCTTTTTTAGAAAAATGAAATATATTTTTCATTGTGTCTAGTAAATATCACTACTGTATTTTAATTTTATTACAAGTGACAGTTTCCAGTTTTCCAGTAGCTCTAGAAACATCGTACTCACACTGCAGATCTATCTCTTCGTATTTGTTTTCGGCCTCTAGACCTCGGTAAAACTGGAGTTCCTGACCGCGGGCTCGACGTCGGTGTAATATCCATAATTTGTTGAGCAGTTTTTTGTCGTTCTCGATGTTTCTTATTTGCAGTTTTCCATTTACGCTTAGCACTCCTATGTTCTCGCTCTGTCATATCTTTGACAAGTTTTTTATTTGCATGGTACCTTTCTTGGTGTTTTTTCTTAGCTTCAGCATTTCTCACCGGGTCTAGTTTTAATTTAAGCCTATAGCGACGTTGTTTTTCTGCGTTTGTTAACGCCATTTAGCGCAGAATCTTTTCTCTAAGATAAAAAAAGAAACAATATATGAAAATTAAGGCTTAAATAACGTATCACCAACATTGACAAATATATTATTTATTTTTATATGTAGTTAGTCATGTCTTTGTACTGTCAGTCTTAGAATATCTGCACTTTGGTATTTCATTTGGTGATTATTTACAACATAGTCAAATATTCACAACTGCGTTACCAATGCAACAACTGCGTTACATTTTCAAGTAACGCAGTGTAGCAGTATCGCAGTTGTAAATATTTGACTATGTTGTATATAATCTCTAAATGAAATAACAAAGTTCAAATATTCTAACACTGACAGATCCAATACATGACAAACTACATATAAAACAAATATTATGTAAATATTGTCAATACGTACCTTTCGACAGTGGTAACTCAGCGGCCACGCAATAAATACACGCACCTCTCCCGACGACTCCGACGCGACTGATCTGACGAGCGTCCTCTTCCCCCGCGGTTGCCATCGTTCGTTATACGAGTTACAATATGTAAAGCCGAATAAGGTGCAAAAAAGGGTAATACACTCACTTAAAGGTTTATTTTCATATAGCAATGCAAGGTAGTTACGATTTTAGTATTTGTTAGGGACACAGTCAAAATAATTTTTTACTCCAATAATTTTTTGATGTAAAAAATATTTATTGGCATTATAAATAAGGTTTAGGGCTTAAATTTTTAAAGCGGAATTCATTATGAATCGCCACCTAGGAAATATTGTGGAAAAAAATCCAGAGAAGCTTGAGACATGTGCTCAAGGACAACTGAATTTTGTATGAAGAGCAAATGCATTACTAAGAATGACAACATTGTTACTATATTTTTTGTTATAATGATGTATTTTTACTGGTCAAATCTTGTGTTCTGTATTAAACAATAATGTAATATTTTGAAATTAGCATACTTATTTTACACTTTTGTAGTGTTTTACCGTAAAATTCAACATTAGTTCAAAGGGACAGGTTTTTAGGCATAAAAAAGTATTTTGGCCCATAAAACAAAGTCACTTCCTGCTGTCTGTCTGTAAGCTGATCTTTTAAACTGCATGATTTTATTGCAGTTTTCATCAATGTACAGAGAGTCGAAAATCTAGTCTATCTATACAAGTAACTCTAACCTTAATTATAGCAGGCCTGTTCAAAAATATCTCAGCTGGGAAATCCCTTAAAAATACATCACAGATGAATCTACAACATCTTCGTACTGATTTCAGTAGCCTCAGAGCATCTTCTACCAGTAGCATTGTTTTAGAATCTGATGGATTAAGATTGACCCAAGGGAATAACAAAATTTTTATCCCCTTTGTTTGTTTTAACCTGAAATTAAACTGGTCACTTAAAAAATCTAACAAAATCTACAATATTATCTATTTTTAAAAAGTTATAAATAAATAAAGAAAAAATATATTACAAATCATTCCCGGATTCAAGCTCTTCACTCATAGCTAGACTCTCCTTTGAGCATTTGATTGTTGCATTATTGGATTGATCACTTTTAAATCCATCCTCACTCCCTGAACTAGATTAAAGAGAAAACAAATTCAAAACATGAAAAAGTCATAATCAAATGTGAATAATTTTGTACATGCAACTAAAAACTAACCTTGTAAAAGATGGTAAATTAAGGTGAGGAATTGAAACATCAATATCAGATTCTACTGTATTCAAAAATTGCAAAGTTTCAATAATATCATTAAATATCTCAATTGCTTCAGGTTCATCTATCAAGTGCTTTATTTTATTGAAACTAAGTAATATTTTTCTTATTCCAAATTCTTTTGCTATGTATGCACCTGATTTTGTCTGAAAACATAGCCAAAGATAACTAATGGCATTCAAAATTATTAAAATAATGATTACAACAGATACCTTTAAAGTAGTAACAAATAGCTCAAGAGCCTCTTTCTGGAGGGAAGATTGAGGAAATTTAAACCAATTCATAAGAGCTTCCAATAATTCTCTTGTACAAGACAACTCATCTTCCAGTTCCCAACCGAGTTTTAATTTTGTAAGTAAAAGTTTCAAAGAACGATCACGTATTTCTTTCAAGGGGTGACCTACAAAACGTTTATATTATTAGGTTTATAATGATAAACTACAAGATATAAAAAACCTCAAAGGACTAACTTAGTTTAGAAATATAAACAGATATAACTTGGGTGGTAGTCATTTTCTAAGATAACTTTTAACTATCAAGTTTTAAACCATTTGAAATGGTCAAAGAAAGAATCCTACGCACTAATACTACGATATATCATTTAAAAAGATGTACAAAAACCAAATTGGCCACATAAATAAAACGATTGTTTACATTTTTTGAAAATTCAAAACCATAGAGTAAAGTCTTTTCTAATGTTGCCAACGACTAAACTTATTGTTCACCATATTAGCCTTCCGAAACCACCAAAAAACACAAAAAAATTTGAATACCATTAAATAAGACCCATCTCTTTCATAAAATCACTCAATTTTCCATTAAATTACTAGGTACTTTGAAAATAAATGCCTATTAGTATCAACATATTGACGTGTAATTTGCATTCATTTCATTTATGACTGGCTTTGTGCATGTAGTAACAAAAAAGCTAAGGTTGAAAAAACTTTACAATTTTTTAATAACCTTGTGATACTGGAAAACATCTCTAGATCCGCCCTTAATCGGTATCTTAATTTTTCCCTAAGTATAAAAACAATAAAAATTAACATTAGTTGATTTATTAATGTGCTTTCAACATACCATACCCATAATATTTTCGTACTATACCATTTACATTTTGGATTTTGAACAATTGTTTTCTCAATGACTTTTAGCTGTTTTGAAGTTAAAAAATAAAGGAATGTTAAAGTATATTACGGTTTCAAGAAACTTCCAGGCTCAAACAAAATGATGTGAAAAGAACATGACGCAATAAAACAAAGATTGAAAGAGTTGAGAAATATAAGAACTTTATTTTTAAATATTCTATGTGAAAATCCCTGAATATAATAAAGGGCGCAAAGTGGACCATTAATGTGTCAACATTAAATTGCATCGAATAAAAAATTTGATTCCATAAATATCTAAGTTATTAACAAAAATTAATAGAATGGTTTAGTGATTTCACTTTGAAAGTGTTTTTTAAATTACTGAAAAACCATCAGATAATTTCGCCGCTAAAATTAATGATTGAAACTAACAGTTTTAGTGAAATGAATTCTAGAGTAGATTGAGTAGGAAGTCAATCTATTATTGTAAGAATCAAAAAAGCATATACCCATCGTACAAATTAACATAATACATGGCTCGACGTCCGCCGTCGACATGCAAGTTCAGTCACGATAGTAAAATAACTATACGTGTCTTTGTAAGTTTGAAATTTAAAGTTACAACCTTGCTGTTCCTTTCGAACGGACGTTTTTTGTTGATTGCTGAATTTATATTAAGATGATTTAATTATGAATATGAGATTTAGTAACTGATCATAGTTTTTTTTATTCTTAATTTAGAAAGGAAAACTTATTTGCACGTTATACTTTGTATAAACGTCATTCCAGCCAGAAGTCATGTTATTTTGTACGAATACTTAGTATATTTGATACATATCGCGTAAGTATATATTAACCGAATTTTATAATTATATTTATCGTTTTTTTACCTTTATTAATAGATACAGATTAATAAACCCTATTCATTCATTCACCACACATAATATAAAAATATGATTGGAAATTGATATAGTTTTGTTGCTATAAGTTCAACAAACAACTAATAGCAACAGAACTAATTTACCTATTTGTTATTGTTTTCAGAACTTCAGAGTTAAATATTATAATGAAAAATTCCTACACCTACTATGGCATAAGTATTTTATTTATAAAAACATTTTCACGGTAATATTAAATCTAAAATCCAAGTATATCGTAGCTAAATGCCACTTTTTATAATAACACAGCATTAATTCCATAACTTTTAAAAAAACCTTCTCTATGCCTCACTTTTATTATGTTATTTTCCATTTTCTTTTATAGAAATAAAAAATAAATTTATTAAAGGATCAATTTGTATTAATCGAATAGGGTATTTGACACTATAGAAAATAAATTGCATTTTGTGGTCATCCTGATGGATAATAATCTTATTTCTTAACATCTGCAGAAAAAACCTGTTTAGATTTAGTAAAATAACGTAAAGAAAATGCAATATTTTTAGGAATTTATTCAATGACCAAAACGTCCTATAATTGGTCGTCGTCACAACCAATCACGATTCTGTTTACTGGCCTGTGACGTCATCAGCTGTCATGTCAAAGTAATGTTAGAGAGATACATAAAATATCGATGCCTGTAGGTATCGAGTATTTTATAGTAATTAACTGATAACAGAATACTTTGCCGCTTCTATTGATAAGAACTGCCAAAAAGAAATACAGAAAAATTACTAAGCTTTTTAAAAATCCATAAAATAGGGAAAACGCTAGCAATTTTAAAAAAAGAGCAACTTACATGTTTTTCTCATTTCTTGAACTTTACTATAATAATTCAAAATTACAAAGTCGATTTTGATGATATATAGTGTTCTCCAAGTTAAAAACTAATTTTAAAAAATCATCGGTATCTGATATCTAATTATCAAATGCCATGAATTTAGTAGACAGACATACTACATATGCATGTATAAAAAAAAACAAAATTCTTTTTCATACTAATGTCTCATCCATCTGTAGGTCGACAGGCTGTAAAGTGCGAGCCCTGACAACAAATGTAAATGAGTCGTAAAATGTTAATGACAAAGAAAAAAAAACCAAAAAGAAAACCTTCAAATGTATCGATATGAAATAAAAAAGTTTCAATACTTTTAGCGAATCCTTACCTAATTTTATCACCCATCTCTATTCTATATAGCAACTATAATATTGTGTTTATATATCTATTTTCTTCTAGACTCGAAGTTTGTTTGTTATTTATAGAAGAGTTAGTACATTGTGGCACTACACACCACTTGTAGCTCAATTTTTAAAGAAAACCAGAGCAGAGGAAAATAGAAAACGTAAAAAATACGCACTACGACTTCAATTTCTCTTTAAAATTATTATTTCAATTTACTCTAGGGATGCTCGATATTCATCGATGTTGAATAAACATCGATGTTTTAAATTGGATAACATCGGCACATCGATGTTATTGTGCCAAACATCGATGTTTATGAATAAAATGTCATGATACCCTTTGGGCCATCTAACGTGCTCCAGATGTACTAGCTAGATGATCTCGTATATCAAGTTCAACTATTTTATACTAGATGCCACCGGTTGCACTCGTAACGCAAACAAATAGTTTTTTCTTTGCTTGCATTATCCTAGGAAATTAGAAATATATCTGTCAACTTCAGCGCTCGTTAGTATCTTATAAGTTACTTTATTCACCGGTCTTAGTTTCAAAGATCCGTACATTAGATAATTCCACGTGCGAGTGCGGAATCGAAAAAGGCACCACTGATCCCATCCTCTTCAACTGTCTGAAACAACCTTCTCAATATGAGCAACTTCCGTCTAAAACCCCCCCGTCCCATTAACCTAAATACTATCTTGTCTATTACTAACATACCTATCTTTTTGCGTCTCGAAAGCATATAAAAAAAATATTACAATACACTATAATCTACACGGCACTATCATATATTTATTTAATTTATTAGTACAATTTGTGACGTTTGCCATGTGTTGTACTTTTAGAACAAGGGAGGAAGAAAACTATTAAAAACCGTAACTGAACAATTTCTCACTATCCCGCAAAATTTTTGTGTAAAACGGAAAAAGGTCATTTATGTATATAAAAAAAAAGTTACTTTATGCTCGTTAGGCTCGTTCTGTCTCCGTGAAGCTCCCGCGTGATTTTTTATGACACTTGTCTTATTCCATTACTTTTATGTTAAGGGGTAGAATCCACCTATCCCACATTAAAAAAGATTGCATTAAAATATTGATGTTACACAGTGACTTCCACGGCTTCAGAGAGGCTTTTTTCTAAAGCTGGTCAATTCCTTTAACAGCAATGTAATCGATGTTTGGGAAACATCGATGGTTTTCATCGAATGTTGACTTCGATATCGATATCGATTATCCCTAATTTACTCTAAAGACAGTTGTTACTTATCGATTTGACATATTTACTGGCCTGTGCCGTCACGATCAGCGCCATTACATAGAGCAGCGTTTTTCGCGCGCTTTTGACTATTTAAATTTTAACAATTATTTTCACCAAAAATAGAAAAGATTCCAATGAAATATTATGACAGTGTGTTTATAATGTAGCAAACAACGATTTAAAATAGTTTTCAGAAAAGTGTCAAATACCCTATTGCGTTTGCGTATCTCGAACTAATGAGGAAGTATTTAAAAAATTAAAAATAGTTCTTGAAATCAAACTAGATGTCACTAGCGACGTTTGGATATTGTCTATTCATTCAAATTTTGTTTCTGACGTAATAAAAGTAAATTGAGTATCGAAAATAAATAAATAATTATGACATCGTTTCGTGTTTTCGATGGAGTAATCTTTTAATTGTTTGACTGATAGACATCGACTTGCGCAATCAGCTGGATTTTCGTCGGACTTTACACAACGGAGCTGTTTGAGGGCATAACATTTTTAACCCTATTTGTGACAAACGGTTTCCAATTGTATGGGTTACCTTGTAACCATCCAAGAACCGCTGTCGAGTCACACCATCCGAATAATTATTTTTTATGATCTTTTAAGTTTTATATTATTTAAGTCATTGATTTGGAGAGTAGCAAGGCTCCGCATAATTCGAGGTTGAGTAACGATGTAGATTTATAGAGTGGTACCACCTTAGTTTTTGCTGCTAGTTGTGTCACGGTTACTTGACTTATTTTTTGTATTCGTACATATATGACACATGCGTACGCTTTTGCAGTAGAATCACAAAATCCATGAAATTGCAATGTGTCAGTCTGTCCACTTTTGATCAACCGTGGTGTTGTTATTTCATTCATGTTGTAAATATAGTTTCTTAGTTGAATCCACTTTTTGAAGAGTTCGCCGGGTACTTCTTCATTCCGTTTAATATCAATGCTTTGGAATAGAAATTTCAGTTGTACGGCAGAGGGCGCTAATCACCCTTAGATGATCAAAAATTTTGGATATTTCTGATAACAACATACGTTTGGTAATGTTTTGTTCTGACGTGGAAGGAAGAGTTAGCTCGCATTTGATGTTTATAGCTTGTATGTTTCAGCATCTGTTTGCGATGTGACGTTCTCACCGAGAAGGAGAAGTTGATTAGAAGCCTCCTTTCTGAGATTGAACCTAGCAGAGCTGAGAAAAGTGACAGTTTCTGTTT